CCGGCTCTGCTGGCGTGCAGTGGCTCTGGGTCTGCCTGCAGCCACTGTGACTTCTGAGAGCTCAGTAAATGTAAACTTTAATGTAAGGTCCCTGATTGGAAATGATGGGTGTATGATTTATATGGGGTTCAATGAATGATTTATAACATGTTAAGTGATGATTTAGGTAGAAAATACAACCCCCTCTTACAGAATCTTTAATGAAAAGTGTCAGTTCTCGTGAATTTATTTCTGAAGCTGTGTTTGAACTCGGCATGTTTGACATAAATCACGTCTAATTGTCATTTTATGATTAATGAACATATGCTGGCCGTTTTTCTCCATAATTAAACTTTATGTTCAATTCGTCTGGCAAAGCAAAACAAGTTTATGCGTTGTGATATGCTGGCTCTTCAGGTCTGCGTATGAGAAAGTGCCTAGATATCCAGCTCTCGCTTGGGAATTGGAAGAGACTCATGGCCAGTTTTGCAGAAAGTCAGGTTTACCTTGGCTGAGGAAGCAGATGTGGTGCTGTCCCTGCCTTTTAAGACAGTACCGCTCCTTAAATAGCATTTAGACTTCTTAGATAAGAAGACCAGGTGCCTTAGACCAGGCACCTCTCCGGTGGTGATGACTGAGACAGAGAAAACCAAGGTGGTTTGTGACCACACGCTCCCTCGGCTCACGAGGAAACAGAGGTCCTGGCTTACGGAGTTACGGAGATCTCCAGCCCCAAGGAGCTGCAGGGAATTGGGCGGCTCTGCAGCACCCAGGCGTGTGCGAGCAGATTCTTTTTCTACACCCTTAGCGAATCTGCCAGAGCTCAGGATCCCCAGACTCCTGCGTGGGCATCTCCAGGGCAGGATCCCTTAGGCTTCACGCCACTTCCATGCTGAGGAATAATAAGACTCTTCTTCTTTCAGGACATAGACAAGTTTGGCAACGAGATCACACAGCTGGCTCGCCCGCTCCCGGTTGAGTACCTAATCATAGACGTAAGTATTCATTGCACTTATTTGCTTGCAGCAGGAGATGGTCAGGGTGGAGTGAAGTTCTTAACCCACCTCTAAAATTCGCACTGGAGGTGATTCATAGAACGGATTTTCTTTCTTTCTCCTTTTCCCTCTGCTGCCAGGCATTTCTAGCAGAGAGGTTGGTGTGCTCTGGGGTAACTGCAGTGCTCCTTGGGATCACTGTGGTGCCAGGGAACACTCTTGCTTCCTGGGAAGGCACTGCCAGGTGTCTTATCATGGCTCCGAACTGGCATGTAGCCACACAGCAGGGGAAGCAGCCAGCCCTACCGATACATGTGCTGGGCACTACCTCATGGCGACCTAATTAGAGAACTCCAGTTGTCTGTCTCTTAGCGGCAATTAAGAATCCAGCTCCTTTTAGTGACTCAGCAGACCAGGTTGGTTGTGCAGAAATGCCTTTTCTTGGGGGAGGGAGTTCACGCTACAGCACAGCTTGGCTGGAGCAGGCCTGCTGCCTGCCCGTGAGCAAGCGCTGCCAGGCACTGGGGCACGGCTCTGCCCTTTGGCTTGAAAGGAAACTGTTACGGTGTGGAAGGCAGGAAAGCAAATAATTTGGATGACAGATGATATTGCTGGAGTTAGAGATGGTGCCAGTAACGATTAAATCCACCCGGAGCAACTGGTCTGGTCCAGCTGCCCCTGGCATGGGCCGTGTCCCGTGGGCGCAGGGAAGCTGGCAGCCGGGAGGCTTCCACCGACTCGTCCTTCGTCCCCGTTTACTGTCTGCTGTGTGTACCGCTTATCAGAGCGGCGCTCGGGCTGACGCTGGGACGTGTGACTCGCACAGAGAAATGTCGTGTCGGGAACAACGGGCCCATTGTGCAGGGCCCTCGGACGCCCCATGCCAGTCGGCAGCGCTGGAGCATATTTATTACTCAAGTAGCAAAGGCATCGGTTTTGGGGCTACCTGGGGTGTAATTAACATGAAAACAGATTGATGGAACATGCATTTAGGAGCAGTCTGGAAAACTACATTGCTGAAGCATCTTGTTTTCTCTCCCTCTTTTTTTTTTTTTTTTTTTTTTCCAAAGAGCAATATTTGAGTTAATACTGTCCTGGCAAGTATTTCTGCATCTCTGTGTAGAGAGGGCCTTGCCAGCAGGGCCCAGCAGTGGGTAACTGACACCAAAGCTTTAAAGTCCCCAGAATCAGGACTGGTTTAAATGTTGGAAACTGGCCCAGACACTGGCTTGTGAGCTCAGTAACGTGGGCACCGTGTTGTATTACCCTGTTCCCCATCCCCTTGGCACAGGGTGCAGGGGGGAGGCAGGTGGGTGCACGCAGAGCATGGGGTGACTCTGTTCAATGAAGTGCAAAGGCTTTTCTTGGCAGCCGTTCCAGCCCCAAATGGAGCAGCACGGACCCCAGCTACCGTGGCCAGACGTGGGGTCCACACTCGCTCTCCCCGTCACTGCTGGTGTTAAGATGACCCCCAGGGTGACACCCCCAGCAGCAGCTGCCTGGCACGGGGCAGAGCTGTGCTGGGAGCTGCTGCGTTCTGCTGACCTTTGCAGAGAGGGATGCTCTCCACAGCATCGTGCTGTGCTTGTCAGGACTGAGCTCAGTACATCTCCCTCCAGCTTCGTTAGAAACGATTGCCAGGAGCTAAGGAGTGTGCTGATTGGAATATCACTTTAAATGTTAAAAGCCGTCAGAAGATCCCTGCTGTAATTGCCCTGCTGCCTTCCTGGCTGAGCTCTAACGTGTAGTCATGGCTGCTGTCGCCTATCAGGAGCCTTGTTTCCCGTATCCCGCTTGCCTCTCGTGCTGTCAGGAGCTCTGATCATCCTTTCTTGGATTTTTAGATTACTACAACTTTCCCCAAGGATCCAGTCTACACCTTTTCTATTTCTCAAAATCCATTCCCCATCGAGAACCGTGATGTGCTGGGAGAAACTCAGGTAAGGAGTGATTCATAACAAAGCTGTGTTTAATGCAGGTAGATCATCTGTATCCCTTGCACTTACTAGTATCTGCAAAGGGACAGCTGCAGTTGTGCCCTTAAATCACCCCTTCGTGGTTCAGTCCAGCGCTTGCCAAACACCTTCCTGCGTGGTGCAGCGTCTGCATGCCGATCAGCCGGCTGGACGCCTTGCTCCCTGCCTGCTCCGTGATGGGGGCCGGGGCCCCTCGCCCTGTGCCAGGGCTGGTGCCTCCCAGACAGCACCAAAGAGGTTGGGGGACTCCAGCCCCACAGCGATAGCACAGGACCCGCTTCTCCCTGCAGACGGGAGCAGGACAGGGGTCTGTTGCTCCAGCTCCGAGAGCACTGACTTCTCTTCCTGGATGGATTTTTAAAACACAGAGGCCATTAACTGCAAGAGGCCCATAGCTTTGAGCAGAGGCAGCTGCCCGACAGCTTGAGGCTCTTGCTGGGTGTTGCCAGTGCACATAAGGCTCGAGTTGCTTTAAAGCAGCAACAGCTTGTTTCTCTAAGGAGGCTATGCCAAAGATGTCAAAGACTTCCTCCAAAAGTCGTCATGGGAGAAGGGTCGCTGCCCATTGTGGCTCTGTCGGCAGAGTGGGAGAGCTCGGCTGCTCAGTGACAGCTTTGGTCCTCGTTTCTGAGGATGCCCTGGGTTCAAGAGCAGAGAAAGAGGAGAGGGTGGGGAAGAAGGGGCTGCTTTGTCCTCATCTGCCTCTTTTCCTTAGGGAATGGGCTTTGAGCTGAGCTGACTGGCCTCTGCTCGGCATCTCCTGGGTCTGGGATCAGCTCCGTACGCACAGGGATTGCTCAGGTGCTTGGATAGGGGAGCTAGTGCGGGCCCAAAGATCCTTTTCTCTGGAAGTTGTTAGCCACAACTCGGTGAGCCAGCCTGGGATCTGATTTCGGGAGGGTCTCTGGACATTGCAGCCGATGCCCAAAAGAGACAGGAACGTTACGGTGTCTGTTAGTGGATCCAAATAGGAAAGTAAAGTTATCACGTGGGGGAGACGTGACTTCTCTTTATTACTTTCCCCTCTCTGTAGGACTTCCACAGCTTGGCCACGTACCTGTCCCAAAACACTTCCTCCGTTTTCCTAGACATCATTTCCGATTTCCATCTGCTTCTTTTCCTGGTCACAAACGAGGTCATGCCTCTGCGGGTACGTAACAGGAGGGAAAGGGTCATGTCAGCATTGCCATGCCCAAGGCCCTGAGCCACCCCCTGCGTGTCCCCCAGCTGGGTGCCTGTGCCATGCAGCTGGGACAACGTCTCTTCTTCTAGACTGAGCTGTTGGTAGAGGGTTTAAAAGGTGAAACCAAAGCCCCCGACTAGACCAAGAGCTCTCAAGACGCTGCTCAGAGCAGTGAGGGGGTGGTGGTTGTTAGCACGGTCGCAGACCGGACAGAGCCAACTTGGCTGCAGCTCTGAGAGCTGGAAACATTTTTAAAAATATCTCAGGATCAGAAATTCCTGTTGTAACGATAACAAGATCAGAGCCTCCAAATCTCGGGGAGGCAAACGACTTCCTGACTGTGCAGCTCTGCCTCTCTTGGCCGGGCACCGGAGGCTTGGCCCAGGCCCCCAGTTCACATCTGCACCGCTGGACCTTCCTGGTGTAAGCAGCACGCCAGCCAAAAGGGCCATGTGTTTGACAGAGGCTTCGAGGGTGCCGAGCACTGCACATGTGCCGGGCAGCTGGGCTGACCCTGGGCAGCTGGAGATCAGGCCGGCGCTGCGTGCGTGGCCGGGGCCGGGTGCCGGTGCACTCCAGCACGGTGGCTTTGCACCCCCAGAAATGAGGCTCAGCCCACAGCGCTAGCACGCTCTCTCACACAGGGCAGCGTGGCGGTCGGCTGCAGCCTGCTTAGGTGATAACCCCCTCTAAGCAGAGGAAAAGGAAGGATTTGGGTTTTGGGGGTATGTCTGAATGCGAGGGGGGAGCAGAAGGGATGAACTGCATCTTGCCAGCCCATGTCATCTCCCTGCCCGTGAACCTCACTGGGGCAACCCAAAGGGCCTTTTCGAAAGGGGCAGCAGCTCAGAATCCCAGCTCTGTCTTGCTGTGGTTAGTGGAGGAGGGCAAGAAAGCACTTCCCTGGCCACAGCTCCAGCCTGGGCACCTGAGGAGTGTCCAGTGCTGATTTCCCTCTTACGGCTTCCAGGACAGCATCAGCTTGTTGCTGGAAGCTGTGAGGACCAAGAATGAGGAGCTTGCACAGACCTGGAAAAAATCAGAGCAGTGGGCCACCATCGAGCAGCTCTGCAGTAAGAAAGGGGGTCCCTCTGGGAGGGTGTCCCTCTGGGAGGGGGTCCCTGTCCCTCGGGCCGTGGCTGGGCCGAGCTGACCAGCGGCTGTG